GCTAAACCACAATGGAATGGCTAGTGTCTCCTTGGTGTTTTCGTATCTTGTGTGGTGAAGTCAATATGATGCTTGAAAGCTGGGAGTAAATTAGTGAGTGGGTCTGATATGAAATTAATTCGTGAGAAACAGCTCGGTCTTGAAGGTCGGCTCCTGCGGTACGCGTTAAGTGATGAGCGGCTAGTGTCTTCTTCTTGGTGTTAATGTTTTGTATAGTGAAGTCGATGCGATACTAAGAAACTGAGAGTTTATTAGTGATTGGATTCGAGAAGGAATTCACCAGTAAGAACAGACAGTCTCTCGAAGATACACTTGAAATGATGAATGGCTAGTGCCTTCTGGATGTTTATATTTTGTGTGGTGGAGTCGATATGATATATTGAGAGTATAATTCACTCACTAATTCACTTTCAATCAGTGTGGGAAAATATGCACATGGTCAGCTACATATGTCGGTGACAATATGAAAAATTTGAGGAAATTTCGAGAGACTGTTGTTGATTTCGGAACACTCCTACCCAAATTTGTGTATATATCTCTATTATAAGTGAGGAAAGTCCCGAGCTCAGCTGAGGTAAACGAGCATATATTCCAACACTGCTTTCAATATTATTGAGAGTTTATTAGTGAGTAAATTCGAGGAGGAATTGATTAGTGAGAACGGACAGGCTCTCGAAGATACACTTGAAATGATGAATGGCTGCATGTAACCATTAGGGCTATGGCGATACTATTACGCGATGGTGGCATAGCTGCCCCAAATGAGAAATTGATATTATTGGGGCATATCTTGGTCTGGCATAGCTGCCCCACTTTGAGAAATTGATATTACTAGGGCATATTTTGGTCTGGCATAGCTGCCCCACTTGGAAAAATTTATATTATTAGGGCATATCTTGGTCTGGCATAGCTGCCCCACTTGGGAAAATTGATATTATTAGGGCATATCTTGGTCTGGCATAGCTGCCCCACTTGGAAAAATTGATATTATTAGGGCATATCTTGGTCTGGCATAGCTGCCCCACCTGGAGAAGTTGATATTTTCAGGAAATACCTTGTGGTGGCATAGCTGCCCCATCTGGAGAAATTGATTTTACTAAGGTGTATCTTGAGATGGCATAGTTGCCCCACCCCATGGCCACTACTTGTATTGATCTCCTCACCCATAATGAAGGAATGCAGCATCAGCAGCCTAGGAGGGACTCCACCTCCTCCTCATCGTCATGTATGATTGTATGCAGCAAGTGTAAAGGGCCTTTGAGAAGTGACATCACTGGTAAGGGCTCTACCATCAATCGAAGGGCTTATACTCTACCATCAATCGAAGGGCTTATACTCTACCATCAATCGGAGGGCTTATACTCTACCATCAATCGAAGGGCTTATACTCTACCATCAATCGAAGGGCTTATACTCTACCATCAATCGAAGGGCTTATACTCTACCATCAATCGAAGGGCTTATACTCTACCATCAATCGAAGAGCTTATACTCTACCATCAATCGAAGGGCTTATACTCCGGCATCAACCTTAATCGATTTCATTGCCTCTGGGCTCTCCTGCATCGGATACCAATATGAACCAACCCGATTCGATTGAGATTCATAAAATTACGATATACAAAATATAGTTTGAAAATATACGCTAGGATAGATTGGTCTAAGGGGTCGTTTAGTCATTCACTATATTGATAATTATGGAGTATGGGCTAGAGTCGATAGTCTTACATTGTATTGGCAGGTCTGAAAAGATGCGGTCACCTCTTCCATGCGAGATGTGCATCTTCTATACACGATCGGTGTCCAAAATGCAACAAACCCGTGAAGGATGTCGAGACCGACTACCTCAGTAAGTCACTCTCGACTTCCCCG